ATGTCACTGCGAGGATGAAGGGCATGATTCATTGTCATTATTTTTATGGTCTTCCTATCCATTGGTTTTAGTTCTGCTTGAGTCCAGTCCACTATTCCAGCTCTGTACTTAATGACTGGAATTGTCCAGGTGTTGATTGCCTTTGTGGTATTTCCTCCATTGAGTTTGGACTATAGGATCTTTTTCACTCTCTTGATATATTCACCTCTAATCTTTTTCTTGACTTAAGTATGCTTGATGTTGTCAGCTTGAAGGATACCCAGGTATTTGTAGAAATCATCCTCATCCAGACTGTTAATGTTATTTTCGTGGGCATTTTGATTCCTTCAGTTTTCACTATTTTTTCTTGTTTGATTGTGAGTGTGGCGCATTTGTCCTGACCAAACTCCATTGCAATATCTTGGCTATATATATGGACAGTGTTGAGCAGCGATTTTATTTCAGATGGAGATTTTCCTTGCAGCTTCAGATCATCCATATAAAGCAGGGGTGTCAAACTCGCAACGTCATGTGATGTGTCGTGACGTATTGTGACTTTTTTTCCATTGCCGGCAATGGGGTGGGCATTGTTTTGCTATGATGCATCCAGCCCATGAACCGGCAGTTTGACACCCCTGATATAAAGTGGGATAGCCTGGTAGATGTTTTTGATGTTTGATAGCCATGGCCTGAGTTATTCAGTATTGTTGACAGAGGAAACAGTGCAATAACAACTAGTAGTGATAGTGAATCTCCTTGAAATATTCCTCTCTTGATACTAACCTCTCCCAGTCTCTCACCATTGACCTACAACTATCTTCCATTGTGCCATCGATCTTTGCACAAAGGTTCTGATGTTTCTACTGACTCCTATTATTTCTAGGCACTTGATTATCCAGTCAATGAATGCTACATTTAGGTTGGTCTTCCTTCTCTTGAAGTTTTCCAAAATCATTTTATCAATTAGGACTTGTTCCTTTGCTATTAGGGCGGTTTTCTTTCTGCTCAGGTGGAAAGAGATTGTTTTCAACTACAGTAGATGCTGTTGGACTGCATCAGCTACACCAATCTGAAAGTTGTTGATAAGCAAGTAATTGGCCTGTATTTCTTGGTGCGGCCTCTTTTGCTGTATCTTTCATTATCAGGTAAGTTTTTCCAGATGTTAGTCATTCAAGTGCTTCCTTGATCTTCCTTGTTTCTAAGTGGTATTTCTTGATTAGGTATTCTTTGGTCTTCGTGTTCTTCAGCTTCTTTTCTCTCATCTGTTCTAGCTTGCTTGCATCTGATCTCAACTTGCTGATTTTATTTTCCAGTCTAATCTTCCATTTTTGTGGTGCACTTTTTGGCTTTTTTTCTTCTTTGTTGATTTTGCATCCCAGGTATTCAGTTATCACTGAAGCTGGGTGTACATTAGTTGGTTTGATTCTTGCAGTGAGTTGGTGCTTATACTTGATATTACAGTATTTGCATCTTTTAGTGCTTGTGCTAGTTGTTTCTTGGAACAAGCTTCAATGCAGGCAGCCTAATTCTGATGTTTTTGTGCTGTTCTGGGTGCTCAGTTATTCTTTGTTTCAGTTCTTTTATTTCTTTAGTCAGAGGGCCTTGTTCTTCCTGAGGCAGAGGAGAGGATGCCTGGTTTCCAAATGAAAACTTGTATTTCTTTGCTGGATTCCTCTATTGCCAACTCCCCCTGAGTTACTTTGATTTCTTTGCCCTTGGTAAACCTTTGCAGTTCTTCCAGTTCTGCTTCTGTGAATACTTTATTTCGTATTATAAATCGATGTTGATCTACTAGCCTCTGTTCTGTATTTTCTGATTCTGGGTATTGTTCTTTCCAGAACTGGTGCATTCATTTCAAATATCTTCTTCTTCTTGGACTTGATCTGTAATATGAGATTATTATTTCTTTGTTTTCAATCACTGTGTATTTGCGACAGGTAATACCTTTTCTTCCAGTAATTCTGCAGGTGCTGGCCCTGGCTGCTTATCCAACAGTCCTGTAGCCCATTTTGCACCGGATACCCAGGAACTCCGACATCTAGCGTTTACCTGGGTGACATCCAAGCTGTTTTGACTTTCTGAAATTTATGTCTCACCATATTTTTTATGGGAGAGACACTCTTTGTCTGACTCCTATGATGAGACCTGTCCAGCATGGTTGAACCTCTGGTATAGTTCTCATCTTCCTCAGAGCACACAAGCCCCACAACCACGTCAAGGTAGTGTCTCACTGAGGGATTGTTACTACTACTACTATTATTATGATTGTGATTATGGTTATTATTATTTGCTCAGAACACAGGAAGAGTAAGTGAAGGTGGAGAGGATCCTGACAAAGATTTCTCTGTCACTGAGTACGGGGAAGGATACTACGATGGTTACTTCGACAGGACTGACTCCCCTGACATTGGACCCGGGATGCCTGCTAACCAGGATACCATTTATGAGGGGGTGAGGAAGGACTTTGTCTCTGTCTGAGAGTTAGGCTCAGTTCCTGGGCGGATCCTGCAGCCCACATCACGGCTGGGCCAGAGCTGATGGGATCTCATGCTGAGAATTCTGGCCGTTGCCTGCAAAAATGTGGGTGCTCCAGGTCGAATGGAAGGTTTCAGTGAACCCCCAAGTGAAGCTGACATAACCTCTCCGGGATGGGAGACTAACCATAATGCCGTTCTGCAAATTTGAATGCATTCTTGCCATTTTTGTGCAATGGTTACAGATTTCAAAGAAGGAACCAGTGAATCTGATTGAAACATAAAGTTTGACTGGGGGGGGGGTATATTTTTGCATATAACTGGATAGACCCCAACAGACTTGGTAGATGAAGTCCCAATACTTGGAACTGTGGTTTGGCATTATTTAAAAGCTTTCTTTGAAAGTGCAGAGCAAATTCCAAGTTTGGGTTGCAATCGCAATTTGCCAACATTAGCACAGAACAGAGCGCTTTTGGGTCAAAAGTAAGAAAAGCCACCAGGGTTTGGGTGGGATGAATTCAGGATGGTGAGGTGGCCCAGGAAACCTGCTAATCTCTTGTTAAGGAGACTGTCCCAAGATTGTTGCAAGTTGAATAGTGCATTCACTAAGCATCAAAAATCAATCAGCCTGCAATCAGCTTTGCATTTATTTCTGGGTTTTGGCCCAGCTCTCCCTGCTTGCATTTTGTATCCCACTTTCTTGACTTGCTTTCTCTTCCTCTGGTGCAGATCAGTGGACCTCGAGGCGAAAAGGGGCAGAAGGGAGAGCCAGCGATCGTAGAGTCAGTAAGTGCCGTTCCTTTGCAGGTGAAGGTGTGCTGCAGAACCTCATAGCTGAGGCGTCCAGCTTTCCTGTGGGGATCTCCAGAGACCAGATCCGGGGTATTTGGTGTGTGGCAGTGAACCTTCATCATTGTTGCACAACTTGGCCTTGCATCCGGTTGCTTCCTGATGGGGTAATGGAGAGACGCCTGGGATGGCAGATGGAAGTCCCGAGTCCTGGATCACGTGAAAGGGTGGCGTGCTCTTATGTGGAGGTTGGGATTCTTGTGGGAATAGTGGGACTCTGGCGTGGAACGGCTTGTGTGGAATGCTCTGAAAAAGGCGATTTCTGCCGCGTGAGAGATTGGCTGCTGTGTGTCGAGCCCTCACTGGAAGGCCCAGCAGTCTCTCCTTGCTCAAGATCCAATGGGAGTTCGACTGTGGAAGTGAGCTGCTGCTGAGATGGTCAGAGAGGAGAAAAGGCCTGGCCTCCCTCCACCTGCTCTCAGCCCAGGACTCTCCCGCACTGACTGCTGAGAAGATGCATAATGTCAGTGGCGTTGGATGGGCTTAGGATTGGGGCTGTTGTTGAGCACCACAATGCCTTATTCCGGGCCAGCGGCACAGAGCCCGGAGCTTCGCATGGCATCTCTCAGTAATGCTCCGCCTTGAGGCTCTTTCAGGATTGAGAGAAAGACTCTGCTGGTCACTGAACCAACACAAGCTGGATCAGCATTAAACGTGCTGCTCCCCTTCCCGATCCCTGCCCTGCCTCAGGCGAGGCGCCTTCGGAAGGCCCGTCCTTGCGTGCGGTGCACGGAGCCCAGAGGACAGGGATTGCTGGGGTCTCCTGCGTGTGCTTCCCCCACCCATTAAATGTCACCATCCAGTGGAAAATGTGCCACTTATCTGCCATCTGCCAATATTTCCTTCACTTTTGCCCAGGCGCTTTGTGTGGGTGTGTTCAAAGGGGGTCAGTTGGGCTCCTTTTAGACACGGGGGTAGCACTATTCCAGAAGGACATTCAGCCCTTGCCCAAAAGCAGCCTGACTGACAGCCGGCAGGGGCAGGAAGGGCTGTCACCTCCCTCTGTCCTGCTTCATTGTGCAGCCCCACTGCAATTGCCACGAACCCCAGCTCAGCTGGGACGATGGGCATCCTAGTCCAGCAGACTCTGGAGAGCCAGAGTGGGTCCAGGGCTGAGACAAGACGTTGGTCTCCCCGCTGGGCCTCTGCTGTCTCCCAGAGACGCTGAGAAATTCCAGGTGTGCTTCAGTCCAAGCTTTATCCCACCTTTCCCATCTCTTTGGTAGCACGAACATGTTTTTGTGAGCCTCATCTGTTGGTGTGTTTGTTAAAGGGGCAGATCACTTTGGACTCACTAACATTCTTTTTCAGCAACTTATTTTTCCCTCTGTTTTAGCCGAATCAAGCACATCTGAAGGCATGATCAATCTCTGCTGCAGAAATCCAGATAACCACTGGATTGTTTTTTCTCATGCAAATGTTTAGACTTTGATAGAAAGCATTTGATCTTTTGTGCAGATAGACAAAAGGTTTGTGGTGCCTTAAAAATCATTAAGCACGAGTCCACTAACTCCAGCCTCAATGATTTTAAGATCATTTGGTTCCCAAACCCTCCCTTGGCTTCCGAGCTTTTGGTTTCTGCTGTTTTTGTTACTGTTTGGGGTTTTTTGGACAAGGCAAACAAAATCCTCACCTTTCCAGGAGTCCTGCAATGTGCTGCCCACTTGGTTATGCCAGAAAGCTGGCAGCTGAGAGCTTTTGCCGCAGTCTTCGTGTCAGAGCAAGCTGAAACACATTTTTTTGATTGACTGTTCATTCATTTCTACAACTCCCGTGATGCTGTACATCCAGAGAATTTGAACGGCTACAGTGTTAATATAATATTAAACCCAAAAATCAAATGATAGACATCAACAATCAATTCCTCATGATTTGCCCCCCAATGCCTTTTGGAAGAGCCTCGTTCTGAAGAGCTCTTCAAAAATAGAGTAATCCAGGTTAAAGTGGTCATCACTGAGAAGGTTCAAATCCAGAGTCCCTGGAGATGAAGTTTTGTCAGTGGTGGGACCCTCGGCAAGCCCCTTCTGTCAGATCCTCCTGGGTTCCTCCATCCAGGAGATAAGGCATAATTTGTCCCTGGATGCACATATCACAGCCCACCCACTTCGTTGGGCTGTCCAGTGCCTCCCGCCTTTTCTCCGGAGCTCAAGACAGCACGGATAGCTCTCCCTCCTCCTATTTTTCCCAACAATAACCTGGCAAGGTAGGCTGGGCCCAGAGAGGGTGAGTGGCCAGACTCTGTCAAGGAGATGCCACAGCTAAGGGTGGCTCTTCCTGCTCCAATTGCCTCCTTGTCTCCATGCCCCCCCTTGCTGCGGGTCTGGCTTCTTCGCCTTTGCATTGTCCTCCCTAGTCCCAAAACCTGCCCCCAATTGGGCACCCTGGCAGGGGGGCTGCTGCGTTCCCAGGCCAGGGAGCTCCTGAGCAGCTGCGTTCCCACAACCGACTGTCTTTGCCCGGGTTTGATGCTCATTGATCCTAATCCGGCCTCTTTCGGTTCATTGATGATTCATGATATTGTGCCAACCCGAAATTCAGGAAGCAGCTAAAGTGAGACCAGAAGCTCCCTGGCAGTTGGTGATTTCTGGGAATGGCCCCTCCCTCTGCCCTGGGCCTTCTTGTGGGAGAACAAGGTTTACGAGTGGGGGAGATGGAGGAAAAAACCTCCCCCAAGACCCCCGAGCTTCCCTCCTCTACTCTGGAGAGGACTGTGAGGTGCCTAAGCTTCTCCCTGCCAACCTTTGCCCAGACAACAAGACGCCCCTCAGCAGCCTCAGCATCACGCAAACACTTGGCAGCTCCTTGCGGAGCTCCGGCTGCAGAGCGGCTGCCAGAAAGTGAACCAGGGCCAATGCTGGCTCCTTTGCCCTCTCCCCCAAAGGCCCGCCATTACGGGCAGTTGGAGGAGGAGGAGGAGGAGGACCTGCCCTCAAAAGGCAACCCCCTCTGTGTTCAGAGAGCGGCGAGCGCGGACCCCCATCGCCTCTTCGGCGCTGCTGCCATCAGCAAACCAGCCCTTTCCGGGAAAGGACCACGGGGAGCATGGGGGCCACCTTCACTGCTTCTCTCTCGCCTTGGTAGCGCTGTAAGCCAGAGCGGACCAGGCTCTCCCCACAGTTGGTCCTATGTGAAGCTCTTTGTCCCGCAAAGGGCAAAGATGAGGTGTGTCCACTAGTTGTGTTTGTGAAGGGCGAGGTGGAAATATGGGTGGCATCAGCTGTTGTCTTACAGTTCAAGGCTCCTGAGGGTGCCAGCTTGGGAGCTGTCAGGTGGTGCTCATTACTTAGTGTTCTTCCAGTAACAGATCTGGATGTCCTGTGTTTGGAGGCGCCCTTTGCCTTCTCTCCTTGGACCTCTGCCTGGCTCCCTGCCCTGCCGGGCTGCTTCACTTGAGACGCTTTGGGTGCTAAACTACAAATAAACAGGAAGGTAGCCCTCTTCCCTATTTCTATTCCCAAGAGTGTTTGAGGCCTTTTTTGGAAATAGGAATCTGGCCTCAGTTTGGAGGGCACCCAGGTTTTCTTCCGAAGCAGCTCTGTTTCTATTCGGTTCTTGTTGGCCTTCCTCCTTTCCTGCAAGGCAGCAGCCCCTGGACAGTCCTAGGACCCTCCGAATCCCAGCAGATTCTTGGGAAATTAAAGGGGGAGAGGGGTCCCCCAGTCCTTCGATGTGAAGATTGCCAACAGCCTCGCCATTTGGGGGAGAGGCCTTTCCTGGGGGCACCTTCAAGGCTTCCTGGGAGCCCCAAAGGTTGTCTGTCCATGTCCTGGGATTCATCAGCTACTCTTTGCGTAGCCAGGGACTGAGATGTGGGACACCCTGGATTGTCTTTTCAAACTGCTCTGGAGCCGATATGCAGATAATAAACAGGAGCACTTCCTCAGCAATTTCGGGGTACGGATCGTGACCCTGGCATCTCCTGCGGTTCAGCTTCTGTCCCGCAGTGCAGAAGCCAAAACTGTAATTTCCCACCATTGCTGGAATTTACAGAGATGAAGCCTGAAAAGGCACCTGGGCAGATCTGAGGGGGAGAAGGGCCGGGCCCTTCCTGGGAGTGGTCAGGAATTTCTGATCAAAGATTACTGGAGAGCCCACGGTGTCAACTCGGCTCACCTGCTCCCGATATGACCCAAATCCACAAAACCTGGGGCGGGGGGGTGGGGGTGGGAAGCACACAAAATCTGAACTTGGCGAAGCTTGTCTTTCTCTCCCTCCCTTTAGTTTTTTTGCTCTCATGCCCAGGATGCTTGGAAGCAGTGCTAGCAATGGTGGTGGTGGGGGTGGTGGTGGGTGTTTAAGGCTGAGTGGGACTTTCTGGAGGGACTCGGTGGTTCTCCTTGCAGCCAGGCACAAGGCAATTGGGGTAGATGTTTGTAACGGGGAGTGTCTGGTGCTGTTCTGTGCTTTTCATCTCCTCTTCCTTCATTTTCAGGGCATGCTTCTCGAAGGGCCGGCTGGCCCAGAAGGCCCAGCCGTAAGTTGCTTGCCTCTCTTTCCCTTTTGGCCCCAGGGATGTGGATGGGTCTTCTCCGCTGTGGATGGAGCAAGTCTGCAGAAGGCAGCTGCTCTCGCCTGCAGCTGCTTCCCGGGGTGAACGTGGTGCCCCGTGGCTGGCTCCCAGGCCAATTCGGCCGTGCAGAAGTGAACAGGTCCCCCTCGGGCTTCTCCCCTCTGTGATGAGTGCGAGAACTTCCTTTTCCCCTTGGGGCTGACTTTCCTTCTTTCTCTCCTCCATCAGGGGCTTCCAGGTCCTCCGGGAACAACGGGGCCAGCGGGCCCACTGGGAGATCCTGGAGAAAGGGTAAGTTCTCTCGCAGGGAGGGTTACCTGGAGCGGAGGGCACCACTGCACCCCAGACTTCTAGTTGGGGCAGTTGCAAGCCACTTGGGGTGCAGTGTCCACAATCAGGCCTGGTGCTGATAGAAGGCAGGCAGGGGGAGACCCCGACTCCTCCTTGCTAGAGAAAGAGAGAGAAGAACTGCCTCCAATTCTCAAGGGCCTCTTCCACACTGAGTGCGCTCATCTGGCAGTATGAAGCCCAGGAACAGCTGGCCAAAGCGGCTTCACAGACACCCCAGGCCAGTCAAAAAATAGAAGGTTGTGAGGGGAGTTTATTAGCACATGATCCATATTCTGCATCATGTGCATTTCATAGAGTGGACAATAAGTAGACACGATCTACAGTGACACATTATCCCAAAATCCAATTGCTTAGACTGGTTAGTCCTTAAAATACTGGGTTTTTTTAAAGAAGAATAACAAATCTTTTCCAATCAATATTATTATTATGGTTCATTGCACAGCCAGCCAGATGTTTGGACTGTATTTGACATTTTTATCCACCTACTGAGTCCTTCCCAAAGTCCTGGGAAGGTCAGATGTTGTGGTTTGATAGTGTTAAAGACTTGTCGCAGGATGTGAGCTGTTCCAAGTCAAGCTGCCTTTTGCAATTGACTCATGATGATTTTGTCAATGCTGATGGTGTTCAAGGGATGCTCCAGTAGTTTTGGGACTGCACCCAAGGCATCTATTACAGCAGCGGCGCCCAACCTTTTCTATACCCTGCACGCCTAGAACACTTCTGATATATTCTCACACCCCTTACAAAAGTTCAAAATAACGAACTATGCATATACACTATAATTTTGAAACTTCTAAACCCATAGTTTTATTTATTTATTTATTTATTGCTTCTATTTATATCCCGCCCTTCTCCTTGCGGACTCAGGGCGGCTAACAACCAGATAAAAACTACAAAATACCAAAAACTACAGTTAAAACATGATTAAAAAACAAATATTAATAATTGGCCTAAGTAATTTAAAATTATTTTAAAACCCCCACTAAAATTTTCCCCTAGGCCAGTCCTGCAAGCTGAAATAACCATGTCTTAAGGGCGCGGCGGAAGGAAGGGAGATCAGGGATCACCCTGATCTCTGGGGGTAGTTCATTCCAGAGGGTGGGAGCTCCCACCGAGAAGGCCCTCCCCCTTGGGGTTGCCAGCCGGCACTGTCTGGCCGACGGCACCCTCTGGAATATCGTCTCCCACTTCTGGTTGGGAACCCATGTATTACAGGATACAGAATAACAGAGTTGGAAGGGACTGTGGAGGTCTTCTAATCTAACTGCCTTTTTTTAGCAGGAGACCTACAGTAGACCATTCCAGGCAAATGGTGTCCAATCTCTTCTTAAAAGCCTCCAGTGATGGAGCACCCACAACTTCTGGAAAGAAGCCATTCCATTGGTCAATTGGGCTCATTGTCAGGAAATGTCTCCTCACTTCTAGGTTGCATCTCTCTTTGACAATTTCCCACGTTGTGGTTGTTCCATCACTGGAAGTTTTCAGAAGAGATTGGACGGCCATTTGTCTGAAATGGGATAGGGTTTCTAGCTTGGGCAGATGGTTGAAGACCTCCAAGGTCCCTCCCAGGACTCTGATCGTATATTTTATCTTCTAAGTTCTTATCAACAGTTGTTAAGTCTGGGGTGTTGCATGGCAGGTGTTCGTTTGTTTGAGTTCTAAAGTTCCGGAGCTTCTCCCTTCTCCATTCCCTTGAAGTGTACATGCTGCCCAATTCCCCGTGATTTGGAAGTTCCCCCTTCATCTGGGGGTAAAAATGGGGGCGTGGAAGGCAGGTTGTCCTGGGGGGTGCAGAGGTCTCCACGGTTTCTCTGTCTAGCACAGTGTTTCTCAACCTTGACAATTTTAAGGCATGTGGACCAACTCCCAGAATTCCACAGCCAGCAATGCTGGCTGTGGAATTCTGGGAGTTGAAGTCCACATGCCTTAAAATTGTCAAGGTTGAGAAACACTGGTAACAGGTTATTTCCAGTGCTGGGCCCAGCATGGATGAAAGCGGAAGACGTGCTGACCGGTCATGCCAGAAAGCCAGAATCAGCTTTTCTGCACACCTGCCAGACCCACATCACCCTCAACGCAGTGCAGAATAAAATTAGAGGGCCCCCCAGCAAAGCCCCCCCCCCAATCTTTCGTTGAACATCTCTCGCAAAGAAGATCTCAGCACTTCCCAGCAGGGTCTGCTGCTTAGTGGTTCTTGCTACTGGAACTGATTTTAGTGTCGTCATCTCCCCATTTTCCTACTGCAAATTCATTTCCGTGTATTTCATCAGCTAGCAATTTGAGGGTGAGGGTGGGAAGTCAGAAAGCCCCCTCCTTAGCAAGGGGATCCCCATCGTTCTGAATCAGGTTATTTGCACACAAAGCTTCATTCATTCATGTCAACTTTAATTAGTTTTTGCTGTTCTCAGACTGTTTGCAAATCCAGTTCTTTTCTTTAGCTTATGATTCCGTCATCTTCTGTGAATCCAGAGGATCACTTGGTGTAGGAAGCAGGTCAAAGGTGTTGCGGAAGCTAGATTGGGTGCATTCCTTTCCGGAGAATTTGCAGTTTCTGCAAAGGGTTTCCCTGCGTTGTGTGTTTGGGTGTGTATGTTGCCTCGTGGATACGTTCCCATCTCCACTCCTTCAGTTGTGAGACAGGCTGCAGTGTTATGAAAAGGTTCGAGCACATTGTCGCATTGTTTCATGTGTGTCGTTTGGGCAGCATAGATGAGGCAGCTTTACATTTGAAAAGCAAATAATACGGGACAACTTTCTCCTCCACGCTTACCTTTAGTGTTTAGGTAAAATATGGTCGTCTTCTTCCCTCCCTCTCCCCCCCCCCCTCGCTCGTAGCTCTGCCATCTGGCCCCGGAGATAATTGCTGTGTTGGTGCTGCAAGGCAAATGAAGGGCTGGAAGCTTTTGATTCCCTCTAAGATGTAATTGCTTTCTAAGAGGGCTTTGCTGGGAACGGAAGCCAAAGCAAACACCCCGCCCCGTCTCCAGATGAAATGCAGAAGCCTATTTAGGCCTCCGCTTTGGAGGGCCTGAGTGGGGCACCCTGAGGCTCCCTGGGGCCCTCAGACCGCTTAGCTAAGCCTCCGTCAAGGCTTTGGAGGGCTGCCAGGAAAATATGTCTGGGATGGTATAAGGCAGGGGTAGGCAACCTTGGCTCTTTTATGACATGTGGACTTCAACTCCCAGAATTCCTGAGCCAGCCACGCTGAGGGGAAAGGGAGAGGTTTCCAAGCTGAGCCATGTTGGCTGAAGAATTCTGGGAGTTGAAGTCCACGAGTCATAAAGCGGCCTAGGCCTAGGCCAGAGGTAGGCCATCTTGGCTCTTTTATGACTCGGGGACTTCAACTCCCAGAATTCCTGAGCCAGTCACGCTGAGGGGAAAGGGAGAGGTTTCCAAGCTGGGCCGTGCTGGCTCAGGAATTCTGGGAGTTGAAGTCCACGAGTCATAAAAGGGCCGAGGTTGCCTACCCCTGGTACAAGGTCTCCTGCTGGAGCAGAGGCTTGGACTAGGAGACTTCCAAGCTCCCTTCCAGCCCTGTTATTCTATGTTGAATGTCTTTGTGTCCCTGTTTAGGCCCTTTAATTAGCCATTGACTGATTAATTGTCACAAAAGCCGAAAGGACAGGTTTAATCTGATTCAGCTATAATCAGAATATTCAGCTCCATTTAGGATGAGTTTGAATTGTACAAAATTCACTGGGGCATTTCAGGGTTGAAATAAATGTGGTGGGTTTTCTGAAATGTATAATCTGTCTGGGAAGATGAATAGCAGCTTCCGGATCTGAATGGAGGATGAAGACTGTCTGGTTGGATAGGAAAGTCTTCCCTGCAGTCTTCATGGTGACCAGCAGGAGGAGCTGCAGCGTGTGGAAAAAGCTGGTCTGAACTCCTTGTCCCGATATTTAAGTTTCTTGATGCCCTCGGAGATGTTTTTGTTAGGAAACTAGAGAGGTTTTTTTCCTTTCCCCCAGAAGAATGTCAGAATGGATTAGACCAGGGGTAGTCAACCTTGGCTCTTTTATGACTCGTGGACTTCAACTCCCAGAATTCCTGAGCCAGCTTAGCTGGCTCAGGAATTCTGGGAGTTGAAGTCCACGAGTCATAAAAGAGCCAAGGTTGACTACCCCTGGATTAGACCCTTTGCTGGAAGCACCAGCGGAGCTGCTGCGGGGCTGAACAAGGGCTCCAGGACCCGGCAGTATGGCTGAGTCCCAGCAGGCATTTGGGGGGCTTCCTGTCTCTGGGGAGTGATGAGTCCTTCCATGCTGAGGAAGTCTGGACTCAGCCTGGGAGCCGTAGTGCTCCTTCTACGTGCCACACTCCGGCCTTGAGAACCCCACCTCGTGCCCTCCCTACTCTGAGTGGTCCCACACCATTGCCTGGGATTGTACTCAAGGGTCTTTGGGATCTTTGAAAGTGTGCAGTGCCATTTTCGTTACGCCCCCGGACCCCTCAGTTTTGAAAGCCATGGGTTGCACAGCACGGAGGGCAGAAGGACGAGGCCCAGTTTCTCCAAAGCCACAGCAGGTCCTGCTTGCGGACGCCGGCTTCTCTAAGTTCCAGGGTGGGGCTTCTCAATACGCTTCCCTTGTAAACAAAAGGTCCCCGTGGCTTGATAAAACCTACATCAAGCCGGCATTTTGTACAAACCCTTGGCTCTTCGCCTGCAGAGCTGGTGTAGAAGTTATTTCTGCCAGTGGAAGCAACCAAAATAGCCTCTCTCTCGTGGGCTGCCTGCATTGCAGCCCGCTGGTCTGATACTGTATTTTTCTGATGTTTTGATTCATGTGCCATGTTTTGAACAAATCAATTTGACCTCCAGATTTGCTTTCAAAAATTGCACTGGGCCATGCTGAGCTCTAGTGAAGCATTAAAAGGATGGTTTACAGCACGGAGAAGGAAGAATCTCTGCCCCAGAGAGGGCCAGGCTGGAAGCAGAGAAGCAGCAGCGCCTTGGGCCTGGGGGGGTCCTTCTGCCAAGGGCAGCAGAAGAAGCCCTCGGTCTGCTTAAGTGGTCGGCATCCTCCAGATTTGATCTGGGGTGTCTAGATTCGCCCCAGGCCAGTCTATCTCACAAGCTGCCTGCCACATTTAAGGATCTCATCCGGGCAACCAGCTCAAGGGTGCCCACCGACTGGCAATGCAGAGGCCAGGTGCCTCTTGTCTCCTGCTGCCAGCACCAGAATGGCCACGAGGGATGTCCCCAGGGATCAAGGGAGGGGCATGTCTCAGCTGCCCCACACAGCCTCTAACCCCCATCCTTGCAGAGGCACCTTCGGAGCAGCGTTTTTGCTTTCAGACTGGACGAGCGAGTTGAAGGGGTCTCCCTCCCTAGTGGGAGGGGGACAAATTGAGGGTCACCTTGTGAAGCTGAGCGAGCGATCTTCATGCTGCCCAAAAGGGAGGATGAGCTGAAGGGGGCATTTGAGGCCAGGCCATTATGCAGGAATCTAGACCCCCCTCACCAAGAATATGTCTTCCTCTTTCCCGTTCCACCCCCTTCCCCCCAGATTGGAAGGGGTCGTCTTCCATCATTCCCGTGAGACAATTGTGGAAGAGGCTGCATTGAAGGCCAGCTTTTGGCTTCAGGACTTTGTTTTGGATTGAATTTATTTACTGGCTTATTTATTTATTTATTGGATTTCTATGCTGTCCATCTTACTAATACAGTGGCTCTGGGCATCTGACAATGTAATAGGAGTTTTAAAATGCAACAAACAATTAAAATAGACTAAAACGTTGAAATTAAAATGAGAAACCAAGACAGTGGACAACTTGAGGGCCACCCCAATGTGGCAGGAAGCCCTGTTGGGGCCCCAGGCCCAGCCTGCTTTTCAGGCTGTTCCAGAAGACCGGGTGGGCGGGTGGGCGGCGTGAGTCCCACCTCTCATAGGGGAGTGCCACAGAGGGTGGGACCACCTCAGAAAAGGCTCCTCTCCTCAACCTTGCCAGCCAAAACTCTTTGGCTGACGGCATCCAGAGCGGGCGCTTTCCCCTGGAGCGAGTGGGGCAGTCTCGTCCCAGAGGGATCAGATGTTTCCTCAGAAACTTGCAGCTATTCCACCGAATCCCAAGAAACTGGATGTGGGAGAGCAGATCTGGAGAAGAGCAGCCGGCATACTGGGCCCGATTTGTTCCTCCACAATCCTCCATTCCAAAATCAGACTCTGTCCCAGCCGCTCGTCCCGTCTCCTGCTCGACAGCCAGTCGTGGTAGGGTCTCCTGCCTGCCTGCCTACCTGCCTGCCTGCCTGCCTGCCTGCCTGATTGGGGCTACTTCTTTCCATTTCTTCAAAATTTCACTTTATGTTAACTTGGGGGACGCTCAGAGGGTAAAAGGGAGAAAAGAGGGAAAAAATCACCCCCCCTTTTCCCTTTCCTATAGCAGCCCCACTTGGTGGATGTCCCCGCTGTCCCGGCTGATGGGATCAGCGGTCAAGCCAGAGAGCCTGGCCTGGCCCAAGGGCAGCGGCATTCGGCAGGCCAGCTGGGAGTGGGCAGAGCAGTTCTCTCCTGGGCCAGTTCAAGGCCGGGTGGAGGGCAGAGCAGCCCAGCACAGGGGCAGGGCCTGGGGATTCTTTGTGCCCCTTTGACTCCTAGGGCAGGGGTAGGCAACCTTGGCTCTTTTAGGACTCGTGGACTTCAACTCCCAGAATTCCTGAGCCAGCCATGCTGGCTCAGGAATTCTGGGAGTTGAAGTCCACGAGTCCTAAAAGGGCCAAGGTTGCCTACCCCTGTCCTAGGGAAATCTGGAGCTTTCATGACTCCTGAATCCACGCACCACCAGGTGGCGCTGGAGACCCCCTCCCATTTGCAGCCTCTGCAGGGACCACGGGAGAAGTAGCGGAATGTAAACAAACAAACAGATGTGCAGGGTGAGGGTGTTTAAATTTGGAAATCAAATGAAATTGTAAGGAAGAGCTAGTATTTAAATCATTTAAAAAGCATCAGCAATGCCCAGATTTATTTCTGTTTTATGTTTCATTGACGACTTCTTGAAGCATCGCCTGAGCCATTGCTCCCAGCCACTGATCTCCGGCCTTTCCGGCTTTGTGGACCAGCTGGGCGGGGGAGGGGAAGAGGGGATGGGCAAGCGCACAAACACACACGCTTGCCTGCTGCTCGCTCAAGTGGGGATGCGTGCACCCACACACTCTCCCACTACCTCTGCGGCCCAATTCTGAAGGGCTCAAGGCCCGGAGATTGGGGACCCCCGCCTTACCGTGAGAGCCTCTTTCTTCTGCCCCCTCCCAGTGGAAGGCGAGGCTTCGCTCAGGGCCATCCTGGGGATGCACCGAGCATGGAGGGGGCGTCGTCTGCCCTTTCACCCAGGCAGCTGGGCTATGGAGCAAGGTCCCCAGGCAGGTCCACACACCACACCCTCTCTCTGCTGGCTGCATTCACACTATCCCCCCCCCTGCTTTCACCCTGCGCCCCACCACCTAAGAACCCTGGGAGAGCTGGGTTGGGGCACCAGCTGCCCTCTGTCAGATACTGGGCATAGGTTTAAATAGCGATAGCAGATATTCCTTCAGCTCATGACAGATATTAAGCATGAGGGGGTAACATGTTTTTAAGGAAAATCCATTTTTTAATCATGTGTTTTCTTCCTCACTTCTCCCACAACTCAGTGCAGCCTTTCCCAAATGATCCAAAACCTGGCAGATATTTTGGTTCAAAGGTTTGGCAGCCCTTTGCTTTGTGGAAGGTGGTGGGGCTGGCAATGCTCCCAGCTCAGGGCACCGGTGGGTCTCTTGGCAGGCAATGGTTGAAGAAGGACCTCCCGGGGGGGGTAATTTTCCCAGCACTCTCAGCTCCAACTACCCCTTTCACACCCATCGGTGAGATCCATCCACGCTTAGCCCTGGGCCCAGGTCAACCAAGCACAAGTCCTGTGTCCACACAAGATCAAATCGATCAGATTTTGACTGAACATGCTTGTCTAGAATTCAGACAGTGCCCTCGGTGCCCTCTCAGCCCAGCCTGATTTTTTTGTGCCAACCTTCCCGTGGCTGAGGATGTCCTTCTCGCTCTCCTTTGCCAGGGTCCACCCGGACGTGCAGGACTTCCTGGTGCTGATGGTTTGCCAGGCCCACCCGGGACGATGCTGATGCTGCCGGTGAGTATGGCTGAGCCGCAAGCCCCGTCTTCCGTTGAGTAGCGACCGCAGGCCGCTTGAGTGCAGAGAAGGAGTGGGAAGAAGGTCACCCGTGAAGGAGGGCTGGTGCATTCCTGCCTTGGTGTGCAGAGAAGGGTTTGTCCCAGCCACGGCGTGGCAGCACTTCAGAATCCAAGAGGGGGAAGCTACCTTTCCCCCTCAAGCCTAAGCCCTGCACAGCTCTATGGTGTAAGTCACAACAGCCACTATTCTGGTTTTCGGGGTGGCGGTGGCCTTACAAGTCCAGAAGCAGGGGGTCCATCCCAAATGCTGCTGTAAGCAGGTTTCTGGTGAGCCTGCCGCTGCGGTGTGGCCACTGATGCTCTAAGAGCAGTGAGCCACTTGCCCTGTGGGATCCTCCTTGCCTCTGGGTCTTCCTTGCTCTCCAGCCCCTCTTTGTCTTCTCCACAGTCTCCATTTGTTCCTCTTGAACATTGAGATGGAATTTGTCCTGTGGGGTGGAGGTGGGGGACCCGTCGGCCACTGGCCGTCTCAGTTCAGACCTCCATCTTCCGACTTGGCCAGGCCTGCTCTAGAACCGTTTCTCATCCATCCATCTCAGAGTTCCTGCATGTGCACTTGTGAACGCCTCTGCTCTATTCCCACATTTATTTGAAAATTATTGTTGAAACCATCACATAAATCGATGTTTTGAAACATATTGAAATGAAGGGAAGACTTAAGGGGAGACCTGATAGCTGTCTTCCAATCCTTGGAAGGGCTGTCACAGGGAAGAGGGGTCGACTCATTCTCCAAAGTGCCAGAGGGCAGAAGCGATGGGTGGAAGAAGCGATGGGTGGAAGCTCTTTAAAGGGAGACCCAACCTGGAACCAAGGAGGAATTTTCTGACAGAACAATCAGTCAGTGGAACAGAAGTTGCCTCCCAGAGTTGTGGATGCCCCATTGCTGGGGGTTATGAAGAAGAGATTGGACAACCATTTCTCCGGGCTGGTATAAGAGGTCACCTGCCACGGACAAGAAGTTTGGACAAGTGGACCTCCAGGGTCCCTTCCAGCTTTGGAATTCTATATTGTATGATTGTATTTCTCCTAACAGCACATTATATATATGTTGACCACGAAGGCACATTTTTTGAGATGTTTGAATATTTTTTGGGGCTTCACAACATTCAGAGATGTGGAACTGTGGGATCACCAAATTCAGCCATCCAGGAAATAGGCCTCTGAATGAGGGGAAGAAGGACTCTTGCAAATCCCGATGTTGCTTCGGAAGCTTCCGTGCCAGCCGCGGGCAGCCAAATGGCTCCGCGCCCTCCTTGTGCCAGAGGGAGAACCTCACAACTGGAAGAACATTGCAGTTTCCAGAACCACAAACCAGCAAATAACAGGAAGAAAACTCAGGAAATGAAAAGCTCTGGACAGGGAGAGATTAAACTGACTAATCCTCCTGTCAAGGCTTCGTTCCTTTAGGAGAGTTTTTGAGGAGGAGAAAGACAACAGAGGTCACACAAGGTTGCTCTTTCCCAGTCCGGTGCCTCTATTTGGGAGACCACAGTCCGAGTCTAAATGAGTGGCTGGGACTCTCTCAGCCCCCCCACTCAGGACCCTGTGGCCCTGCACAAAGAGATTGGCAGAGACACCGCCCAATCGCTTTGCAGCTTTTGAGCCCGTGGGCCACAGTCTCCCAGTGGCCCAATTCTGTGGATCAGCCCCCAAGGCCCCACATTTCTTTCTCTCCTGGCAAATGCTGTTGGGGGCTTCCCCACCCCCACCCCTTCCGCGATTGCTGAGTTGGGGGTGCCATTGGAGGAGCAGAAGGAGCCGCTGCAGGAGGGTCTCCCAGGATCTGGGGGTCAGCCCTCAGCAGGCGTCTCAGAATCCAATTATATTTCCCAGCTCTCCTCCTGGCCCCTTTGCTGGGCGCCTGGCCTTAGTGGGGGGGCTGGACGAAGGCCAATTCCCATCTGGGGTGGGAGGCTCCCCCCCTTCTTGCTTTGTGTGGGGCTGCAGGCACGAGAAGTGCAGGAAGAGGAAACCATCTCCACAGCAAGGTGCCGAGTAATTGCGATTTGCAAAAGTGCTTTGTGTTCTTTTGTGCGTGCTTGTGCTTTGTTGGGTGTCAGGTTGCTCAGCCGAACGTTGACCCTCTGTTCTCCCTTGCAGTTCCGGTTCAGCGGGGGTGGAGACGGGGGCTCGAAAGGGCCCCAAATCTCTACCCAGGAGTCCCAAGCCCAAGCCATCCTGCAGCAGGCCAGGGTGAGTAGCCGGGGCCCCAAATGTTCTCCTGTGGATCCAGCCAGGTCCACTTAACGGCCGTGTCGCTAACTGAACAACTGCAGCGATTCACTTAACAACCCTGACAAGAAAGGTTGTAAAATGGGGCAAAACTCACTTAACAACTGTGTTATTTAGCAACGGCAATTGTGGTTGTAAGTCAAGGTCTGCCTGTGCGTGGCCTTGAGCCAACCCCCATCCCTCCTCTGTGGATGCCTCTGTGTGTATGTGTGTGTGTGTGTGTGTGTGTGTGTGTGTGTGAGAGAGAGAGAGAGAGAGAGAGAGAGAGAGAGAGAGAGAGAGAGAGAGAGAGAGAGAGAGAGAGAGAACTGAAAGCACCCACCTCTGAATCAGAAACAGGCTTTGCTGTTACTGGAAGGCTTCTGTCATCCCGACTGTAACCCGCGGCTGGTTCAGTCCCCCAGGCGTGCGTCATTCCTCCACTTTGAACTGTTCTGACTTGCCCAGGTTCCCCTGAAACCCTTTGAAGCCCCACAGTCCCGGCGGAGAGTACGTAAGTTGCTCTCTTTCTAGAGCAGGGGTCCCCAACCCCCGGCCCCTGGACCAGTACCGGGCCCCAGCATGCCAGCAACCTGTCCGCACAAACAAGCAAAGCTCCGTGTCCATGGGATGCAGGCAGCACACAACACCACACCCCCTCCAGTCCCCAGAAAACCTCTCTCCACGAAACCGGTCCCTGGTGCCAAAAGGTGGGGGGGGGGTCTGTTCTAGAGGTCCAGCAGCAAAACGCCCTGTGGCAGCTTTGAGACCAGCCATTCCTTCACTGATGATGTTCCCTAGTTGGGTAATGAAACAAGCAAGCCCAGAGAGCACCAAGCGCCCCTCATTCTCCTTCATTGGTACCATCCCTTCTTGCACAAGCATTGATGCTCACTGCCCCCTTCCCCATGTGGGACACTCCATTGCAGGCAGGACAGGGAAGGCGGAGGCTGCTTGTGTGTGTGTGTGTGTGTGTGTGTGTGTGCAGGCAAATGACACTGCTGAAGCCAGGGTCAGTGCTGAAGCCTGCCTTTTGCTTCCTTGCCCCTGGGGGCACTGGGGGCTGGCTTGCTCCTGCAGGGGGCGCTGGCTGGCTAAGGAGCAGTCAGAACCAAGCCCGTCTCTGCATTCATATGGCAGGTTTAACCTGGCTACTGGTTTGCCTAACCAAGCTCGGTTCCTAGAACACACTAGGCAATAAAAAAACTAACCAAGGTTAAAATTAGTCAAGTCTTAATCTTCTTCTTCTTCTTGTTGTGCCATATCCGTTATCGGACGTTGGCGATCCTGTTTTTATCAGCAGCCGCACGAAAAAGTGCTGCTGAGTTTTGTCCAAGCCAGTCCCTGAGATTTTGAAGCCAAGTCTTAACACCGGAATGCAAATGCAAATGCACCGTATCTTTGACTTGACTTAGCTTGTTTTACAAGAACAACAAGAAGGTGTTAACAAGAAGGTGTTAAGCTCTCCTGGGACACCAGAAGCTGCTTCTGATGATGGGGGGGAAGGGGGGGCTTTTCACAAGTGCCATTATAGGGCAGGGTTCAAAATAAGGTCCCCTCTTGTTCATCATGGTGTCTAGTGACATCACAGGATGCTGGGGTGGGTGGACCTCGCCTTTACCAACTTCTACTGTCGGGGTCTTCCTGAGGTCCCCCACTCAAGTCCTAACCAGGCCTTCCCCTGCTTCCATCCTCAGAATCTGCCAAGGTCGGACTGGATGAGTTCAGACTTCTTGGGGTGCCCCGAGGTCTCTCCTGTTTAATTCTCTCCATGAAAATAAAAGAAGTTAAGCAAATCTCCAGTCTTCATTTCCAGGCATCAGGAAACATGCAGGGCATTTCCAGCCCTGAAATTACTCTGAGGGTGTGTCCAATTTAAGAGGCGTGGACTTCCGTTCCCAGAATTCCCCAGCCAGCATGCTCAGAAAAAGGGCAAGGGAAGCTGGGATTACAGGAAGCCTCCTACAGGGGCTCCCTCATGAATTTGCCTTCTCCTAAGTGGGTGTTTTTTGTAGGGAACGCGATGGCTCAATGGTTAAAGATGCTGGAAAGCCGACAGCCTGGGTTCCAGACCCAAGCACCATGCAGTAGGATAAGCTCCCATTTTTGCCCAGCTCCTGCTCACTTAGCCGTTCGAAAGCATGCAAAGGCGAGTAGGTCCCACTTAACGGCATCCCATGTGCCTTTGGCATATAGCCATGCTGGCCACGTGACCTTGGGAATTGTCTTCAGAGCACACTGGCTCCCTCGGCCAAGAAACCTGGCTCAAAACAGCAACTGTGAGAGGGACCTTGGAGTCCTAGCGGACAATCACTTCAACACGAGTCAGCCGTGTGCGGGAGCAGCCAAAAAAGCTAATGCAATCCCTGGTTGTATAAACAGAGGCATAGAATCAAAATCACATGAAGTACTGCTTTGTAAAGCCCTAGAAAGGCCACATCTGGAATACTGCATGCAGTTTTGGTCACCATATTGCAAAAAAGATGTTGAGACTTTGGAAAAAGTGCAGAGAAAAGCAACAAAGATGATGAAAGGCCTGGAGACAAAAACATGTGAAGAATGTTTGCAGGAATTGGGTATCTAGAGAAAAGAAGGACTAGGGGAGACATAATAGCAACATTCCAGTATTTGAGGGGCTGCCACAAGGAGGAGGGGGTCAATTTATTTTCCAAAGCCCCAGAGGGCAGGGCAAGAAACAATGGATGGAAACTTATTAAGGAGGGTGTTTTGTGACTGGCCATAGACAAGAGAGATTTGAGCTGCATTGCATCACCCTGAATCCTCACCAGATGGCAGTAGAGAGATGGACCTTCCTATATCATGGCTGCCATCTACTGGGCATTTGGATATTTGTAGGTATTTCCAGGTCTGTTACTTGTATCGTATAGACCTCACAAGGCAGCCATTCATACATAGGAACCCACTCATTTAGTATGGCGGCCATAGAGCGTTTTCTAAATTTCAGCGGTTCCCCCTTAGCCCCAAAAGCTTGCTTGCCATGTGGTTGGGGTCCTTCTTCCCCAACATACACATGGCAAGCAAGCTTTTGGGGTCTTACCATGTGGACTCCCTGCTCTTTGTAGGATAGTCCTCACATACAGATCGGATGTGCCCAGTTTAAAGTCTCACCTCCACCTTCTGGCCTGATTGTGGGGCTGCCTGGGATTTTAAATCTGGCTTTAAACCCTGCAGCCTTTTGGGAAACGATGCATCGCCTTGGATTTTGCTCTTAAAGCAGAGATGGTTTTTTTTTTCTTGCTTCCTCTTTTAATTAGGGGAGCAGTTAAACTTTCAACTCCCCTTCACTGCATAATCCGTGTTTCTGTGACTTCCTTGCTGTTCTAGTTGCAGACCTGGGTGGCTTTTAATTACAGAAGAAGATAATCACAGGTCTTTTAGGGTATTGAATTCTAGCAATGGAACAAATTTGTCCCTGCAAGGTTATAAAATGTGGACAGCCCCATTACCTACCCAAAGATTTATTGACTCTCATGGAGCTACATGACTTTTTAATTAGTGGTTTTTTTAAAAAAAAATAAAAAATAAAAATAAAACATGACAGTGACATTTTAAGCTCTTCGTGTACCGATATAAAGTCATCGTTAATTATTCCAGATTCTCTGACTTCCCACCTCCTACCTCTCTGTCTGTATCTAGGATATATATATATAATCTTATTATTTTGGTGTACTGAGAATTCGACTCTACTTGCCTTAGGGGGAAACACAAGTGTGTGGGGGGGGCACTAATCCTCCTGCACTTCAGAAGTAAGTCTCATGAGTAACCCGCTTGTCTGCCCCGGTTGTCTTCGGAGGAAAGCCCCAGAAAGATTCCTTTGAGTTCTGCCTCTTTCAGTTGTGCCGCTTAGCCCAATTCTTAGTGCTGAGCTTGCATAATGCACCGATTCATTAGATTACAGGATCGATTTGACCCCCCTTCTGGGTGAAATAATGTCACTTTAACAGGCTGGATTTGCAGCGAGACTCCATCCTCGAAAACTAACCAGGGTTGCCTGTTCCCTGTAGTGTGAATGCTTTTAACTGGCCTGTATCATGTGTGAATGCAGCATGGGTGTTTATATACTAGTTGGTTTCATTCAGTTCTGCAGAGCCTTGCACATCCAAAGAACGATCTGAGACTGAAAGAGGTGGCATTGGACTGCACTGGGCAAAGTCTGGTCCTAGCACAGCACCCCCCTGCTTTTCCCTCCCCTCTCCCCTCCCCACTCTCCATGCCTTTTCCATTCCTCTTTCCCTGGTTTCCCATCCCCCCCCCCAATCCCCATCTTCCTCTGAGCAAATGCAGCAGTCTAACTTTGCGCCTGCTTCTTCCAGCATCCGGGTAAAGGTGGCTTCAGTGCTTCCCCGTGTGCACATCTTTTCATTCCAAATTGTGGAGAACTGCTTGTCCCTTATGCCTGACCGCCCCTCCCCTCCACCCCAGCTATCAAGAAGAAGCATCAGCCCGGATGCTTACAATCCCCAGCGGGGCTGTTGACACTGCCGAGGGGGGCTTTCCAAGGCCCTGCAGCCCCCTCTGCCTGGAGAGCCCAGCCCCCGGATGGCTCTCCAGATACTGGCCGGGTCCCTGATGCCCTTTCTCTCTTTTCCTGCAGCTGGCTCTGAGGGGACCCGCTGGCCCAATGGGACTGACCGGAAGACCAGGCCCCATGGTGAGTAAAGCCCCTTCTTTCCCACAGCGCTGGACTCCGGGCAGGGAGTCTTCCCTGCCAACAGCCCTTGGTGTTGCTAAACCGAAATGGGCTTCGTGGTCATTTAGTTCCCTGTTTCTTCTCCTGTCTCTTGGAGCAACAACAGTTGTCACGCGGAGGGCAGTTATTCAGCCCTTTAGATCAGGCCTTCCATTCAAGTCTCCTGTTGACTCTCATCGCTCATCAATAGTCATTATTTAGCAGCTTGAATCCTATTGAGTTAATTTCCTTAATGCCTGCTGAGAATAGAACTTAAAAGGCTGGATACAGCCGCACATCTTTAAGGTGGCTTGTTAAACCGAGATGGTGTGGACTAGGCGAGCCTCCGGGTTCCTCCCCACTACATTGAGCTGATTCTTAAATCCGAGTCTGCATGCCTTGGAGGCTTCCCGCTTCTCCTGCCTTGATGCAGCTGGGCCCTTGTTGCTCGCAGGCCCTTCGAAGGGGACTCTTTCCTGCTGGCTAAAGATTGGCCCGGAGGAATGCGCTGGTTGGCGCTTAAGGCCAAGCCTTTTGGTGGCTGCCTGCTTTCTTGGTCTGCCCTCTCAGGGGTCCTTTGCACCTCTTCCTGCCGGGTCCCTTTCTCCCGCTTTTGGGTAGGCAAGGGTTGCTTTCCTGATGTGCCTTGTTAACGGCGGCGTTTCTTTTCACACAGGGGCCCCCAGGTGGTGGAGGAATCAAAGGTGAATCTGGAGACTTGGGACCTCAGGTAGGAGTGATTTGCAAGGCCAGTCTTGGAGGGGAGGTGGGCGGCTCTGATCCTCCTCCCAGTCTGCTGGATTTTGCTTTGACGGAGAACCAGGACCAGCCTCGCTCGAGGCAAACCCAGCCCTTCCCCAAAGGGGCCCAGGAAACTGCGCTTTAGGCCGGTCTCCCACAGACCACAACCCACAATCTCTACCTTTGAGGCATTTGTATTTTTTGTGTCGTTTTATGGATAAGCACCCGTGCTGTCCCTGCACCTTGATAAAAAGGTGCATTAAATTGCCAGCACACCTTTCCTGCTCTGAAGGAGCCCCCTCTGCCCCCCAGGGGGAGTTGGGGGCTTCTCTTGGGAATGAAGGAGGCGAGGTGAGGCAAGGCGCAGCGTTCACACCCGTAGCCCTCCTAGCCCAAGAAGGCTTCACTGCCCTCAAGGGAAGGTCCCAGAGATCCTTCTCTTCTTTCAGAGGCATTTCTCTTTTGTCAGACTGGACAATTTTGGGCCATAGTCCTGTTTGTCTGTTAACTGTCTTGAGACTCTTGACTTTGTGCAGTCTCCCAGAATAATTGTTCAGGGGGGAGACACATTAACACAATGCCCTGAGTCCGCAAGGAGAAGGGCGGGGTAAAAAATATAATTAAATAAATAAATAAATAAATAAATAAATGTTAAGCCCCCCCTTCCCTGCCAGTTGCCTGCTGTCAATACATCTAGTAACAGAAAGGCGACCCCTGAGCTTCGTTCCCTACCTCTCCATCCTGCAGTGCCCTTCAGTAGAGAGCCTGGGGTCTAACTGGAGGTGAGAGTCACTTGGACTTTCCTCCAAGCCCTCTTGTGCAAAAGAAAAGAGCCAGGCTTTCCCAAAACCTTCAGGTTCTGATTCTCCTTTGGTTCCATTCATTCCAGGGTCCACGAGGGGTGCAGGGCCCTCCAGGTCCGTCAGGGAAACCAGGACGACGGGTAGGTAAACTCTGAAACGCTTGGCTAGGCCTGGGCAATCCTGGCATGCTCAAAGGTCATTGGTTTTGGCCTAAAGACCCCCGTAGGTCACTCATGCCCATTGTTGGCAGGGCACCCCAAGGCAGAACGAGAAGCCTGTTTGACAGGAGCCCCAAAGAAACCACTTCCTTTATTCACATGTGCTTGTGCTCTGATCAAAGCTCCTTCACAATTCTGAAGTGCTGTTCTCAAAACTGAATGGCAGTTCTTGAGGATAAACTTAAGTAAATATCAACCTCACCTAAGTGGATGATGCCACTTCGTTTGCTGGGAAGATTCAGGAATCTCTTCTTGAAGGAAGCGCAGAAGCAGGTTTGATATTAGGAAAACCCCAGTGATTGTGTCATTTGCCAACCCCCAATGTTGAAGTGTGGAGAAGAAGCTGAAGCAAAACAGAGGTTGTGGCTGTAGCCACGAAAGAAAGACGCATCTGCTACTGGAGGGAAGACTATGGCAATTGGAGATGAACCACTGAAGTGCAGGATATCACAGTGCAAACAACAAAGGTGTGTATTGCCAAGGTCTTGTTTTTCCCAGCTGTACATTTGGCTAAGAAAACTGCACCATCAGAAAGGCTGAATGAGAGAAACTGGGGTGCCAGATTGCTCACTGTGAATATCCAAGCTAAACTTTGGATGTTTGGAAGGCACCGTGCGAAGGGAAGAGCCATTCAGGATGACTCAGTGCTTGGAAAAACCGAAGGGGCTGAAAAAGAGGCCGACAGAAGACAAGCAGAGTGGTCCTGTCTCTGACAACTCAAGCAGGAGCTTAGGAGAACTTCAGTTCTGGGGAACTGATGTCCGTTGGGTCACAAGGGCACACGAGTAACTAAGCAACTGAACGAGGAAAAGTTCTACTCTCAGGGGGAATCTCGCAACAGCTTCAAGAACGGGGGAAGCTTGCAGGGACATCAAGCCCTCCTGCCCTGTATTTTAGTCTGTCTTGAGAAGGAATTCTGTTTGATTTCAATGTTTTTCAGTTTGGGGGAAGTCCAACCTCTGTGGCTGCATCACTTTCTCTCCCTGGTTTATTCTTGTGCAGCAGCAGAGGAGAAAAACAGAGAGGGCCAACCGATGCTTCAAAAGAGCCTGCAAGAACGATAGGAGCAGTTTGTGATTAGGTGTATTTGAATTAACAAGCAGCCCTTGCTCGTTTAATTGAAATATTAAGCCAGTTAGCACGTCTTTGATCTCAGCCAAACCCATCTGCATCTTACCATAATCTCTTCAGGGAAGGGCTCCACGTGCTTTTGAACGGCCGCCTCTCCAAATATTTTCAGAGAATAGACTCACTCGGCCTTTCCTCCTTGCATCTGCCGATGAAGGCAGGAAGAGTTTCATCCATATTCTTGAAATAGCGCTGGTGAGTCCTGCAGGATTTCAGAATTCCCTAATTCAGGATCCTGCTTTCAAATGAGTTGCCATAAAGAACAAGGAGTCTTGTGGCATGTTAAGGAAGAGTAGTTGAACTGCTGCATACATTTTTGCAGATCAGAAGCCTTTGATCAGAAGTAATATTGTGTATACCCAGAGCTGCTGGGAGGAAGGAGGGGGGGATGGTGCATAGGAAGAGGGGAGGGGAGGATGGAGCCGTTTCTGCCGCTTCTCTCCAGCCTCCTTTAACTGCGGGAACCAAGAGGAGCATCTAAACCACAAGATCAGAACAATCAAGTCCGTTCCTGGTCAGGGGAACCTTTTTAGCTAGCTCCATGGCCGCTTACTTAAGATCAGGAAAAGTAATTTGCGCAAATTCATTTCGTGCGCCAACTGTACCCATTGCTAGGCTTGCTCATGGTCACTCATGTCTTAGTCTCTCTCTCTCTCTCTCTCTCTCTCTCTCTCTCTCACACACACACACACACACACACACACACACACACACACACAGACTCACACAAATTTGGATCACTACAATGAACTATACATGGGGCTGCCCTTGAAGAAGCTGCAACTAGTCTGGATTGGAGTGGTATGTGCAGTTTTGCACAGCGCACCTGGGTGGCACCTGCGGTGTGTGAGCTGGGCCAGCCTGCTAGTCGGGGAGGAAGGAGACAGGCAGGCCTGCAAGAATTCACATCCTCTGATAACTGCAGTGCTCACAGAAAGATGTTCTTGCTCTTATGGAAGTTGTAGGCAGCCCTGGGTGTATCTTGCCAGACGCATGTTCTCCCTGGATGCCAAGTGGTGAGGTTTACAAGGCCCAAGTAGCCAGGGAACTGGATAAGTGACTGCAGTGACCAGCAGGAATGACCTCGAGGAACAGGAGGAAGAGCCGCTACCAAGACGATGGTCAGATAAAAGAAATCCGAGTCCTGGGCAGAAACGCAATCTGAGAGAGCGTCTGAGAGGAGACCCTCCCTGCTTCTCAGGAGCATAAAGGGAGCGAAGGGGAGGCACATTTAGAGTTGTAAGATTCTGCTATTGCACCCTTACCATAAGAGTGGTATTAGCATGTGTGACTTTGTTTCCTAGTCTGATCTGCCTACTACTGAACCTTTGCAGAATTTCTTGGACCAGTACCTGATTAAACTGCAATTTTGGTAGCTAGCAGGGAGGGTGCACAACCATGGCTTAGGGCAGGTCAGCTCTTGCAAGCCCAAGATCCAAGCCAAGGTCCATCCTGATTTGGAACCAGTCAGAAGAATTGTGAGGCAAACGGGCACCAGGTGGGGAAACACTGGAAGGGGAGGGGTGTGAAAGGGAGCAAACGTTTTTAGACTCTGAAACAGACCTGTCACAAATCTGCCAGTTCTGTTCAGAATGGCCCACGCTTTTAAAGGAAAACATGCAGCGAACCCAGAGTGATTTCATCAGAATAGAGCTGGAAGGGACCTTGGAGGTCTTCTAGTCCAACCCCCTGCTCAAGCAGGAGACCTTGTACCATTTCAGACAAGCAGCTGTCCAGTCTCTTCTTAAAAACCTCGAGTGATAGAGCGCCCACAACATCTGAAGGCAAGAAGCTCTTCCACTGGTTAATTAACAAGATGAACGGGACAAGGTTGGGGGGGGGCACTTCCCCCCCGACCAAAAAAAGACATGCCTTAACTTGGGCACAAACTGCTTCAGCCAAAAAAGCTAATACAATCCTTAGTTGTATAAACAGAGGCCCAGAATCAAAATCATGTGAAGTATTAGAACCACTTTATAATTCCTTAGGAAGACCACGCCTGGAATATTGCGTCCAGTTTTGGTCACCACATTACAAAAAAGATGTTGAGACTTTGGAAAAAGTGCAAAGAAGAGCAACTAAGATAATTAAAGGCCTGGAGACAAAAACATATGAAGAACAGTTGCAGGAATTGGGAATGGCCAGTCTAGAGAAAAGAAGGGCTAGGGAAGACATGATAGCGGTATTCCAGTATTTGAGGGGCTGCCCCAAGGAGGAGGGGGTCTACTTATTTTCCAAAGCACCAGAGGACAAGACAAGAAACAATGGATGGAAACTAATCAAGGAGAGAAGCAACCTGGAATTAAGGAGAAACTTCCTAACAGTGAGGATAATCAACCAATGGAACAGAAGTTGTCTTCAGACATTATGGGTACTCCATCACTGGAGGCTTTAATAAGGGAGGCTGGACAGCAACATGTGAGAGATGGTATAGGGTCTTCTGCTTGAGCCAGGGGTTGGACTAGAACACCTCCAAGGCCCCTTCTAGCTCTATTGTGATTGAATACATACCGTAGGGGGAGAAGGGAAGAGGAAGATGATGGAGTGAATGGGTTGTCTGATGACTTAGCCTCAGCTCCAGAGCAAATTTTGTTGCCCCTTGATCTGGTTTGGCTACTTGATTTCCTTTTTCTCCTCCCCTTTTAGGGACGGGCTGGCAGCGATGGTGCTCGGGGGATGCCAGGCCAAACGGGACCGAAGGTAAGTGGGCCAAACCATTCCGTCTCTCGCCCCTGCCGGTCTTTCCCCATTCCAGATGTTCTTTGCAGGAAATCTGCAGCATCCAGGGAGGAGTGCCACGCTGAGTGGCAGACCGATTGCCATTTACAGAAGTGCCTTCTTCCTCACTCGGCTTTCATCAAAAGAGACAAGCAGTAATGCCCAATCTGAATGCAGGGATGTGTGCCTGGAAGTCGTATATTAGCAGGTTTAAGTGGCTGATTATGTAGGTACTTAACGTGGAAAGAGAGGTGGGGAGGGAATTGTTAAAGAGAAGGAGGACTGCAAATCACTTGCGTCTTCTCCAAGTCTCTGGGTCTCCCAAAGCCCCAGCTTCCAGGAGGAGGGAGGGGGGGGAGAGCTGGCAGGAGGATAATTTATGGCCAGAGAGGCGAGAACTAATTCCGACAGGCGAGGATGTGCAAGGATGCTCCGGGACTTAAGAGAATCCCCATCCATCAGCTTTCTCCTCATAGATCCTACAAGGACAGCTTAAAGTGCTTTCCGAAAGGTCCAGGCAATCCATTCTTCCAAGCCTCCCCCTCCTTGTGAGCAGCACCGGTGCAATTGCATGTGGAGAGACCCGTGTCTGTGCGTGTCAGAGACGGTCACTCAAGGCAGGCAACGCTCGGTCGGAGCAGAGGGAGCAGCGTTCTGAAGAAAGGGCTGGGATGGGGAGAAACGCCAGCGGAGAGTCTGCTTGCAGGGATAAAGAACACCATTAACAAAGATAAAGTTTAAAAATAGAGGTTGGAAAAGCATCTGCTAGAGGAGGTGATGTGCAAAAGAACTACAGTTTAGGAGCGATGAGGAATGAAAGGCGGCGTGGATTTCTACAAATCTTAAAGATCTGCATAAAAAAAAACACCTTGAACCCCTTCCTCTTCCTCCTTCACCCTCAGTGATCTTCTCTCTTCCCCTGCCAAGGCAAGGCAGAGGGGAGGACGGGGGGGGGGGCAAAAGTGTGAGGCTGCCTGGTGCTTTTGGGCCCTATCCTGGGGTGGGAAACAAGTCCCACCTAGCAGGAATAGTCAGGGAGGGGGAGGGGAGGGGGGATCCCCCAGCAAGTCCTGGGTGCCTGAAATCAGATGCTGCCTGCAACTGGAGACCTCCAAGCCCTTCCCAAAATTGCCATTTTTAAGGCGATTCTTTGGGAAGTCATCCTATTAATTTAAATTTCACTGCAATTAAACAAAACCTAATCAAGCTTTTGCCCCTCTCTTTGTTTTGGCTCACCTCCTTAGCCATGGCGAGCGTCTCTGATGCCAAATTGGGCTAAAAAGGCTGCACTGGTCTTTTTATCCTGTTCTGAGTCAGAGTGAAAAGGCCTGAA